CTTTGGCTACAAATAGATGATGGTATGATTCTATTATATATTTTATATAAAATCCATCCAAATTAAGTTTTGGGTAAGTGTGTTGTTTAACCTGAAATATAATAACTTAATACTCTAAACAATAGTTCATTCCATTTGGTCCTTTCTCCACAGATGTAATTCTGTTTTCAACTCAGGAACTGTGACAAGAAACTTTCCCCAGATCGAATTCTATTAATGCTGAGATACAAGTCATCCATGCACAGCCACTATCATACCCTTTATTCTCACTGAAAGGCAGAACTCAGAACCTGTTATTTTATGTCTGTAATCATGTACTTTGGCATCTTTTGGAGGAAAGGGGCAGGATAACTCACTGAAGTGCACGGTATTTTGCTAGTGCATTTCAAGGAATGGAATCTTCTCCAGTATGAAATTACTAGATATAAACTAGTGTAATGATAGTGAGGATATAAGCTTTTAGAAGGTAATTTGATGGTATTTCTCTCTTGAATGGAAAGCTGCTGGTTTACCCTCAACCCTCTTCGTTAGCATTACCATGAGTGAATTTATATCTAATTATTTCCACTTGCCCTGTTCTCTTCTCACCAAGGAAGCTCCAGATCCAGTATCTTGTTTGGCCTCAAAACAGAAGCAGCTTCTTTTGTCTCCCAGCAGTAGTGAGCCACTCAGTCTTTTCCACAGGAAGTTAGAAGCCTACATTCCTTGAGTCAGGAGCTCATTACAGAAAAACCCCGTTTCCCTGAACTTTTGGCTAACAAAAATTAATGTAACTGACATGCATATTGATTCTGAAATTTTTTTGTAAGTTTTTTTTCATTTTTTTGAATGAGTTTTTTAAATTAATTTTTTAGATGACCAATCTTGCAGGGCAGGGGATGCCCAGAAGAGTGGTGAGATAGTACAACACTTATTCCCTCATCCTTTCAGGTTTTCAGGTTGCCCATTTATATTCATTTGCATATCATTTGACTGTCTCACTTTTTACCCAGAACAGTAACAACCCACACCATCTTCCTTCAGGAACTTCCCAACTGGCACTCTGTGGGTGCTACACAGAATGCAATTTAATGGATATTTCTCAGCCTGGTTCAGAATAAATTGAACCTTTGATTCCAGAAAGTATATATTGAAGTGTGGGATAGATTATGATTAGGGGAGGTTTGGAGACAAAAGCTGTAAATTACTATGGCTGATTTATTTCTACTATATACATATATATTTTTTGCTTTTGTGTATCCTTTATAGGAAACTAAGCATTGTATTTTTTTTTTTTAACAAATCTAAAAAAGCACTATGAACTGCAGGTGTTTGACTTTCAAAGTATATTTTGTATTGTTGATATCTTCACGTTTTGTGAATACTGGAAGCTGCAGATCTTTGCTAGGACGCAATAAATTTATATACTTTTTGAGGGGTTCTTCTGGGGGTGCTAATCAGGCCCCTATTATGCTTAGGGGGAGCCCTGGTGCTACTTGCTTGAAGTTTTCAGTTGTAAGTACCCTGATGCCTTTTGGACCTTGGGATCAGATCAAGAATTTCGGAGATCAGGTACCAAGGAAATAGGGACAGTCTAGCTGCCTCAAGTGAGGGGCCCTTTGCATAGCTCTCCTTCCCCCTCACTGAAGCTGGGTAGCCTCTTGGGGTTGAGAGGGAAAATGTGAAATCTTGGAATTTATCTCCCTTAGAAGAGAGCCAGTAACTTACGTACAAGGATGAAAGGTCACAGCAGTAGCTTTGGGGAAAGGGAGGAAGATATGGCACTTCTCCAACCCCGGAAAACATTGCTTTTGAAAACTGCTGATAAAATATGAGCCGGTTATTACTTCTGTTTGGGAGACTGTGCTCTCTGTGGTGCCTCTCTTGGCTCTACTCCATAGATACCAGACCTCTTCTAGGAGGATGAGCAGACCAGCTTTGAGGTTGACCTGTTTCTCTTTGTCTGCCTTCCCAAAACACCAGCCCCCAGGAAGACATTAAGCAGTCTTAAGCTTAAATTCCTACTCCCTCTTCCAAATTTGGCTCACTTGCCTTAGATCCAAGGCAGGGAAAGGAAAAGAAGGGGGATCCCTGGCTTTATTACTCCCCTAAGTCTTCACTCTGACTTCCCCAAACCCAGAAAGATTTTCTCCACAGTGTTCATTTGAAAAGGGGAGTATTTTGTCCCATTTTCCCCTTCCTCATTGTCAAATAGCCCCAGTCTTCCTTGTTTCTGCTAAGAGAGTAGAGGTATGATGATCTGCCCCTCAACTGCCTTAAGTCCTAGCTAAATTATCAGGGAAAAAAAAAAAAAAAAAAAACCTAACAAATGGGATTAGACTAGGGCTGCAAGTAGTGAGGAGTTTGTTGATATCTCTACTGGGATGTGTGCTTTCCCATATCTTGCCTTCAGGAATTACACTGTGCCTTTTCCCCAGGGATATGGGCTCTGTCTACTCAGTGCTCCAGTTTCCCGGTAACTGCTCTTGACCATTGTGGACAAAGGCAGGTCTTCATATTTCTGATCATCCCTTACTCCCAGTGAAATCCCATAGCCCTTACCTAGAGTCTAGGGCACAAAGACTTTGGGGAAGATACGCTGAGATTGACCTGAGGAGACATCTACACACACCAGTGGCAGCTGCCCCAGGGCCTGCTTCCTCTTCCTAAGTCTGTCATCCTCTGGAAGGGAGGGGTGGTGCTCCAGTCTCTGGTGCCTAAAAACCCAAGTTTATTTCTCAACACTGGCAATAACCAGTCCACACCACTGTTGCCTTTTAAAACCTCTTAATAATCTCATGCTGTGTTTGTTGTTGATTCCAATCCAATTATCACCAGGGCTGTGTGGGTAAATGGTTTTAAATGCTCTCTCATCTTGCTCTTCCCCCTCACCCCCTACTCTTAGGTGTGTATGATGCTAATCTTGTCCCTAAGTAAGTTTCTTCCTGCTCCTTTTGTATCTTTCTTGTTTTTCCTCCTACCTTTTGTCTCTTGGTGTTTTGGGACTTTTTTTTTTTTTTTTTTTTTTTTTGAGACAGAGTCTTGCTCTGTCGCTCAGGCTGGACTGTAGCCTCCTTTGTAAACCAATTAAAAAGTTTTTTAATAAAAAGCCATGTCTCTGGTGTATTGA